TTCTGACATTCATGGCACATAATTTGTGTCATCTCTTAGGTTTGCTATTTCCCTTGTTTGGCCTGGATTTCTTCTTCCCCCGAGGAACACATAGAGTGGTCATGGGTTCTTTGTTTAACCTTTTCCCGCCCAGTATATTCTGTACTTCCCCATCTCTAAATGCATGAGAGTTGACACTCCACACCCTGGGCATGCTGAAAAACTGGCTTTCCACAAGCAAACATTAAAAGACATTTTTAACCTCCATTAGAAAGCATGCAGTACTATGTTTTTAAAAAATATTTTGCTTATTATTTTTATGTGCATGAGTGTATTGCCTGCATGTATGTGAGTGCACCCATGTCGTGCAATTCCATGGTCAGAAGAGAGCTTCGGATTCCTCTGGAACTGGAGTTAAGGACAGTTCGTATTCTATTTTAGTATCCTATGAAGGACTTCTGGTCTGGTAATACCCATTCTATAGAGGTCATGCACTGGTCCTATCCTAGCATCTGATTTGTGACCCTGAGTCTTTGCCTTGACCTTTAGCTCAGGTTGCAGTGAGGGCCTTTAGTGAGGATGTAAACAGAGCATACCCTAGACTTGGTCTGGGCTGAATGGGAAGAGGCCTTTTTAAAAAATTTTATATGTATTGTCTGTATGTATGTAAGTACACCTGTGTTGTGCAATGCCCATGGAGGTCAGAAGATCCCCTGGACCTAGAGTTATAGATGGCTGTTAACCACCTTGTGGGTGCCCAGAATCAAACTTGGGTCCTCTGCAAGAGCAGCCAGGGCTCTTAACCACTGAGCCATCTCTCCAGCCCAGAAGAAGACCTTTATTGACCCTGGCCTTTCCAGTTCCAGCTGACTCTGGAGAGGGCAGAACTGGACCCTGCCGCTTGTAGGATATTCATTTTAAAACAGAATGTGGTAGAAGGTAAGCTGCAAACCAGTCATGACAAAAGGGGTTATTTGTTGAATTTTGGTTTTTGCATTAGATGTGCATGCACTTGCAATAGGGTTCATGTAGAGGTCAGGTTGATGTCAGGCATGTTCCTTGATCACTCTCTGCCTTTTTTTTTTTGAGACAGTGTCTTCAGTGGACCTGGAGCTCACTGATTCAGCTAGGTTGATGGGCCAGTGAGCTCCAGGAATCCACGTCTCCACCTCCCCAACACTGGGATTACAGATTCTCACCACCACATTCATCTTTTTTATATGTTGTTGTAGGGATCTGAACTCTGGTCTTCATGTTTGTGTGGTAAGCACCAACCATGCCATCTCCCCAGTCCATAACTTTCTTTTTAAAAATTGCTATTTCGGGGCTGGAGAGATGGCTCAGCAGTTAAGAACACTGGTTGTTCTTGTGGAAGACCCGGGTTCGAATCCCAGCACCCACATGATAGCTAAGAACTGTCTGTAACTCCAGTACCAGGGGATCCGACAGCCTCTTCTGACCTCCACAGGCATTGCACAACATGGGTGCACTTACCTACATGCAGGCAATACACATAAAATAAAATAAATGAAAATTTTTAAAAAGTGCCATTTTGTATTGTTGTTTTTACCTTTAAGCCTGGAGGAGGTTACTGTTTTCTCTAAAATTTGTATGATTGAATCAGCATTTCCTGTTCATTGGAGTAAACTATTATTTCCTCCCTTCCTTTGTTATATGTTATATGTGGTATTGTCAATAACATGGTGCTCTTAGTTTGGTAGATTGTATCATCATGGAGAACCCAGGCCACCAAAGGAGGTTACCATCTTAGATCCTGGGAAAAAGTTTGGGAGAACATGATGTCAGATTCTTTGGATAAGTCTGCTTCTTTCTGCTTTTCTTTTCTATTCTTTTGAGGCACAATCTCATGTAGTCCAGGCTGGCCTTGAAGATGACCTTAAACTCCTGAGCTACCAATTTCTATCTCCCAAGTGCTGAGATTACAGGCTTATGCTGCCACATCCAACTTTTCCATTTTTCTTGTTCAACTTTTCCAATAGTTCCAGACTAGAACTTTTAATTCTGGAGGCTGATAACAGTGATTAGATTTGTAGAGGATGGATATTAGATATTGGGCGGGGGAAATCATGAGTTTAGACAATCAAGTTCTAATTATTCTAGAGAAACGATGGTAGTCATAATAGATAAGACCAAGCTGTAGTCAACTGAATTAAAGTGTGGCTGGCTGGCTGGATACCATGACACAGACCTGTAATTCCAGAACTGAGCAAAAGGATTATAAATTGAAGGCCAGCCTGGGCTACATTAAGGAGACCCTGAATGGGAAAATTGTGTGGCTGGCTGGATTATGTATTGAGATGACAAGGCAGTCTGATTATGCTAAGGGTTTTAAAAGAAGAAAAAGAACAGTGGTAACTTTGTGTTTGTGGTGGATGTTGTTGGTAGAGGTACTTGAGCTGATCCTGAAATTGGAGGTCAGGACTTTCTATGAAGTATCCAAGGTAGTTTCCTATTCTATGAAAGGATATTTCCTGTTCAAGAACAATGGGAAGTCCAGGGTATAAGCTGCATGGCTTTGACTGGGAAATGGGTGGCTTCATTTCTCAGAAAACTTCTGGGACAAAGGGATCTGAATTCAATCCTTACGTGGGGAAGTTGGAGGTGACTTTCTATGAGAAGAAAGATATTATCATATTGATCTTTTATGGGATCTCTATGGATAGCATATAAAAGACAGACTTGACAGTGTATAGAAGGCAGACAAGAATTAGAATCTAATTAGCTGGGCATGGTGGCATACACCTTTAATCCCAGTATTCTGGAGGCAGAAACAGGAGGATCTCTGAGTTCAAGGTTAGTCTGGTCTACATAGAGAGTTTCAGGCCATCCCTGTCTCAAACAACAAGAATATGCTAATGATGGGCCAATAGAAGGGGTTTACATGGAGGAAAAAGTACCATTGTCTGGAATACGTCAAGTGGTAGGAATGAAAAACTTTGAAAGACTTTCCTTTAACTGATTATATGTGAACCACAGAAGAATCCCCAGGTTTCTAGTCTGGATAGTTTGGTGAGTGGTCCCTACAGTATCTTCTTGGTATGTGTGTGTCCTATTTTATCATCATATGATGAAAAGTTTCTTGCTTAAGGTAGTGCTCACAATCAACATTGTCAATAGAAGAAGTTAGACTGGAAAGCTGGCACAATCTTCACAGGAAGTTTTTCCACGTTGTATTTATATGAAGCACTGGTTCCAGTGAACACCAATAGATGTCCTAAGTGTGGGGGAAACATTAATAGTCCAACACCTTTCATGTAGAAATATGAAATGCTCTACTCCCTTCTTGGAGAGCTACAATGGAAACTAGCAGGTGAAAGGCTTCCTACACTAAAAATGCTTGTGATATGTTTCCCACCATTAACTTGGTACTTTCCCAGATCATGTATTCAGGGAAAGTGCTGTGTTAAACAGATCTAACAAATCAAATGCAGATCTAATGAATCAAATGCAGCCTCTATGTTATGACATTTGGGAAGAGGTTAGCATTCTATCATGGAAGACTATCCATAGGTGTGGGGTTAAATGCCCCCCCACCAGCCCTCTAGGAGGTAAGGGAGGTGAGTAGAGAGGAGGAGAAATGGGATCTCTTTTGGAGACCAAGACAGCAGATATATTGGGGCAAGATGACAGAAAGTAGTTGGTTTTGAGTCCTCATGGCGTTTAGAGTGAGACTGGCCGGCAGGATTGTTCATTTTCTCCACCATCAGTCAACTACTTGGATTCAGGGGCTGAGAGATGGACTGGGTTTAGCCAGGACTGGAGTTTCTCAGGTGAGAAAGACAGCAGGTAGGTGGTGTGAGGGCTTTAAGAAGAGGTTGTCTTTCCTGGGTAGGAAGCAGAGAATATAGGAGGATGTGCTAATAATGGAATAGTGCAGAGGGCCTTTGGATTGAGAGGTCTGAGCTAGCAGAGGACAGCTGGATCTGAAGAACTGGAACATGAATGGAAACAGAGAAGTGACAGTTAAGATTTCTAAGAGGAAGCATTTATTGACTGTGAGAGGAGCTAGGGTGTGGCCATGTGGCTAGGAGAGTGAAGTGGGCAAGGGAAGGGGCTACTGGAAATGAGGAGGCAAAGGTGCAGTGGGTCGTGTTGATGACGCCCAGGATAGCAACGGGAGAGGAAGGGATTGAGTCCAGTGAAACCAAGAGGCCTCACTTCTGCTTTGGCTGAGGCCCTGGGAAGGCATTTTGTGCTCAACCCTCCTCTGCGGCTTACAGTTCCCCTGATACCTTGTTTCCCGCAGCGAGCAAGGCTGTGTTCACAATTCCTATACTTCTGTGCACTTCAGTATCAGCACCTGCTGGGCCCATCAAATAACATAATGCAGAGGGATTCCTTAGGAAGAAGTATGGAGGGTGACTAGCAAGGGCCTGCCTTGGCCACATTAACAGGAATTTAAGCTAGCATCGCCACCCTGCAGAGAAGTGCTTGTGGGAGAGTTTCCATGGACTCTTCTGCTTCCTTGTATCTGTCCTGTGTGACAAGGATCTAACCAAGAGTGTTTTCCTGTTGCCGATACTCATGAACCAAGACTCAGGTTCTCTTGGGGCTCTACTTTTGCATGCCTGTGCTTGAGCAGATACTTGGACAGGCAGGGATGTACCTGGACAGGTTAGTGGTTGGCTCTAGAGACCAAGCTCCATGCCCAACTGCCAAACCCAGCACCTGTGCTGCTCTCAGTTTGAAATGATTAACTTAAAATTGGTCCCTTGGTTATAATGGTGGCATTTCCAGTACCCAGTGGCCTTATGTGCTCGGTGGTTACCGTGTTGGGCCACCACAGAGACAGAATCATCTGGTAGAAAGTTCTATTGTAAGGCACTGGTGTAGACCATTAATATTGTTGCCATGTGGTTTCCTTTCTCAAGTGCATGGTGTTTTCTTTTTGTTTTGTTTTTTTTTTCCCTCACTGCAGAATCTGTGAACGAACCCCAGATCCAGTAGGTGACGCAAGAAAGGAACTCCGCAGCCCACAGGGGCTGCGTTGAGCTGCAGGCATGGCGCAATACAAGGGCACCATGAGGGAGGCCGGTCGGGCCATGCACCTGATCAAGAAGCGAGAGAAGCAGAAGGAGCAGATGGAGGTGCTGAAGCAGCGCATCGCCGAGGAGACCATCATGAAGTCAAAGGTGGACAAGAAGTTCTCAGCACATTACGATGCCGTGGAGGCTGAGCTCAGGTCCAGCACGGTGGGTCTGGTGACCCTGAACGACATGAAGGCCAAGCAGGAGGCCCTGCTGCGGGAGCGCGAGATGCAACTGGCCAAGAGGGAGCAGCTGGAGCAGCACCGCCTGCAGCTGGAGATGCTGCGTGAGAAGGAGCGCAGGCGAGAGCGCAAGCGCAAGATCTTGAACCTGTCCTTCACGCTGGACGAGGACGAAGATGGCGAGGACGAAGATGGCGACAGGGAGGACAACCGCCAGGGAGAGGGCGCTGCTGCGGCCGAGACCTGCCAGGGCAAGAGGAACCTGGGCAAGAACCCGGACGTGGACACGAGCTTCCTGCCGGACCGCGAGCGTGAGGAAGAGGAGAACCGGCTGCGCGAGGAGCTGCGGCAGGAGTGGGAGACGAAGCGCGAGAAGGTGAAGAGCGAAGAGGTGGAGATCACCTTCAGCTACTGGGACGGCTCCGGCCACCGGCGCACGGTGCGCATGCGCAAGGGCAGCACCGTGCAGCAGTTCCTGAAGACGGCCCTGCAGGGGCTGCGCAGGGACTTCCCGGAGCTGCGGGCGGCGGGCGTGGAGCAGCTCATGTACGTCAAGGAGGACCTCATCCTGCCACACTACCACACCTTCTACGACTTCATCGTGGCCAAGGCGCGGGGCAAGAGCGGGCCGCTCTTCAGCTTCGACGTGCACGACGACGTGCGGCTGCTGAGCGACGCCACCATGGAGAAGGACGAGTCGCACGCGGGCAAGGTGGTGCTTCGCAGCTGGTACGAGAAGAACAAGCACATCTTCCCCGCCAGCCGCTGGGAGCCCTACGACCCCGAGAAGAAGTGGGACAAGTACACCATCCGGTGATGCCCTGGAACCGAAAGCGGACGGTGCCCCCGCCCCAGCACCCCGCAGCGTCTCTCCTTGAACTTTAATAAAGACAGGCGGTTGCTGTTTCCAGATGTGGTGGTTCTGTTGCTTACATTGCTCCCCTGACCCTTCATGTTTCGGTGTGGGTTTCCATTGTGCTCTGTGTGGTAACATAAAGGACACATTTTGGGCTAAGTGGTTGTGAACATGGACTGTGAGGTGGGCATGTTGATTGGATTTGATTTCCCTGCTTTGTGGTGGTGTTTTGAGAAAATGTATTAAAGGTGGTGATTCAGTTTCCTCACCTGTAAAAGGAAGCAACACCTTATAAGGACAATATGGGGAGTAAATGAGTTAATATTTGTAAAGCACTTAGAACTCAATAAATATCTGCTAATCTTGTTATTGCTTTATTTAAAGGATTTCTATGAACCAGCTCTGAAGTATCAGGACAAGGGAAGATCTGCAGGTCTCTGGTATCAAATGGCCCCACCGCTAGGGTTCATTAGCTGGGTTGTTTAGTCCATGGTTTGGGTAGGCAGAAAGCTGGTACACAACTTATAAGATAATACCACTAATTTCCCTCTGCCACATGGCAGTATAACAAATCCTGTCTTTAAAGTTTTTCTATTTTATTCAGTGTTGACTGTTGTGTTTTCATCTTACCTAAAATGTGATTTATCTCTCTTACCGAGTTTTTAGGTTTTCCTTTAAAGTCCAAGGCAAGTACTTTGTTCCTCTTACTCTGGTCCTGGTTTTCCTTTAAAGTCCAAGGCAAGTGCTTTGCTCCTCTTACCCTGGTCCTGGTACCAAGTTCTTGTGCCAGCCTGGAAATAAGAAATTCCACAGAACATTGGCTTCTAAGGTGCTGCCTTCCAGCCTTGGTTGTCTCTTGGGATCATTTCCCAGGTTGCATCCAGAGCCTGCCCTCAGGGCCACATAGAGGCATCAGTCTGTTTGAGGCCCTGAGGGGCAGGCATCCAGGCTGCAGAGCTAATGCTCAAGGATTGCCTTTTCTCAACCCCTGAATTTTCCTGTGGCAACAAGCTTCCTGCGGCAACAAGCACCCTGGAAGGGAGTAGGGCCGATATCATACTCCTGATTCACTTCAGTGGATCAGCCCTTGAAAGGTTGTTAGCAGAATCTCTGGCCCCTTCCCAAACCTGCAGAGCCAGAAGGCAAGTCCCAAGTGACTCACACAGCCTGAGATGTAAAGAGCCTTTGGCTAGGCAGATGTCTGTTCTCCGATGAACACTTCCGGCATGCCAGCTCAGCACTCGACTGCATGGGTGCTGGTGGTAGAATCTATTTCTTGGACTGCAGGTCTAAGCCCTATTCTCCAGGCCAGCTCTAATTTAAAAACCAGTGTGATGACACATTCCAATTCCTACATCTATTGTTTAGTTGTGTTGACATAGATTACGGATTTACGGTATCAAGGTTGTGTTATTTTAGTATAGAATAGGGTGGTGAAATTAAGCTAATATAGGCATCTCAAGTATTTAACTTTTTGTGTTGAGGTCATGAAAATTTTATTCTTAGTAATTAAAATGTGTAATAATGAACAATTAGCTATACTGAACATACTATGAAAGTGACTTTAACAAATTCAGACTTATTACCTCGTTCTGAAACCCTAACTGTTTGATTATTCTTGCATTCCTCTCCTATCCAACCGTTGGTATCCACCATTCTACTCTCTTTTTCATGAACATAATTGGTTTCACTTCCACAAGGAAGCAAGAACATGTGGCATTTACCTTCCTATGTTCAGCTTGTTGCATTATATCCTCCACTTCTACCCACAGTGCCAAAAATAAAGTCTTTTTCAGGGGTAAATAATGTTTCTTTGCATATAAAGCATTTTCTTTATCTTTTCATCCCTTGTTGGGCATTTAAATTGGTTCTGCACCTTGGGTATTGTGAAATGTGTTGGAGTGAACACATAGATTCACTTCCTCTGTGGGAGGGGGTGGGTAGGTGAACACATACAAATATGATTGCTGGATACTGCATGATTCTAATTTTAGCTCTGAGAACCCTCTGCACTGTTTTCTATAATGGTTGGATAATTTGCATTTCCACAACAGCAAAAGGGTCTGTTTTCTCTATATCCTCTCCAACATGTTTTGTCTTTTTGATAATGTCCTTCCTAACAGGTGTGATATGGTCTCTCGTGATTTTGATTTGCATCTTCCTACTGACTAGTGATGTTGAACTTTTTTTTTCATCATCTGTTAACATTAGCATCTGCTTTTGAGGTATGTTTGTTTAGGCACTCGCCTGGCTGTTTCTTAAATGGAGCATTTGGGTTTTTTTTTCTGTATAATTGAGGTCCTTGTGTATTTTGGGTATTGATGCTTTAACAGACTTCCAAACATTTTCTCCTAACCCTATCCCCAGTTGGCCTGGTCACTCTGTTGCTTGTTTCCTTTGACATCTTTTCATTTTTATATGTAATCTTGTTTTTCTCTCTTTGCTTTGATTGCATGCATTTTGGGGGTCATATCTAAAAAATGTCTTTGCCCAGACAAATGTCGAGAAGTTTTTCCTGTGTATTTTCTTCTAGTAGATTTAGAGCTTCAGCTTTTTTGGATGAGTCTTTAACCATTTTGAGTTCATTTTTGTACATGGTATGAGAAAGGGGATCGATTTCATTCTTCTGCATGTGGGATGTTTCCTGATTATTTTGCTGTTGTTTATGCTGAGCTTCCACTGTGCCTCATGAAAAACCAAAGTAACTGTGGTTTAGGTAAGCCCATTTCTCTGCCTCATAAAAGTTTAGAGGTAAGTCTGCCATAGCACCAAGGGCTGGGACTAATTCTACCTCATTTAAGCATCTGCGACTTCTATGTCCACAGTTACCCTGTAATCCAAGAGAGCAGCACAGTTCAAATAATCACATCCACAGCTCAGAAAGCAGAAATATGGTGAGGAAAGTTCAGATGGCTTCAGACAGCTGTCCTTTTATAAAGAGTCCTGTGAATCAACAATACATTGATTTAGATCTCGTTTGCCAGAACTTATTTTTGTAGCCACACTTAGCTGCAATGGAAGCTGTGAATCTTTATTCTGGAAAGGTAAATTCTATAGTATCAAAAGGAAAAAAAAAGGCAGAAATCTGTAGATAGGTGTAGTTCTTGACAGTCCATACCTCTATTACCAAAATATCTGAGTGTAGTAGCATCAACCACCCCACAGTTAACACACTCAGCCCTAATGCAAAGGAGACTGTCACCAGGTTAGGGAAACTATTTAGGGTCACATCTTGTATCATTCAGCTAACAGCAGCTTACCTTTCACACCTGATATGTAATGTAGCAAATGGGACCATTGGGAAGAGGTAGCAGGAGACAGAAGCCTTCACAGTTTTCTGGCCTTCACCTGTTCTCTGGCCATCATCAAATCTTGGTGAGCATGGATTGCAATCATTTTGGCTTAGAGGCATCATCTGCCTGGAAGCCCTGCACCTGCTGTCTGAGCATGCCCTAATACTGTCCTCCACACTGAAGCTGGCCCCTGGGAGGTTTCTCCTCCTGGTTCTTCATGACCATATTATCCATGTTGTTTGACTTCTGCAGCAGACTTGAGGCTGAATTTTGAGGTTAAGTATCAGGTTTGGGGCAATTCAGTCCCCTTAAAAGCATAGATGGTGTTCTGCTTGGTTTTCTAGGTGAAACTAAATATAGTCAAAGTAATTTTCTAGACAAACTGTTTAAATCTGAAACCACAGTCTTGACTCACTGGCATCTGAGCTCTGCTTACCCAATCCCAAATTCAATGAGAGCTACCCTGAAACAACAGATTCAGGTAGAAAAATATACCATTAGTTTCATCCCAGGCTTTAACATGGCACAGCGGCAACTGACCTCATGCTAAGGTTCTGGCTTTGTAGCCAGTGATAATAAAGTCAGTGTGGCCTGGAGAGGCATCTGCAGTTTGATACCATGCAGAGCCCCAGATGTGGACTGTGGGCGACAAGCAGGGACGTCCCTCTGTGCTCCCAGCATTGCTGGCTCATATTGGTGTGCACATGACTCAGAACTGTAGAGAGCAGAAGGAAACAGCCAGTATGCCCTGGTTTGACTGTGGTTCCAATGTGTCTCCCAAAGGTTTAGGTGCAGGAAGCTTGGTCCCCAGTACAGCAGTGCTGAGATGGTGGAACCTTTAAGAGATAGGGCATAGTGGAAGGCCATGGGACACCCCTATCCCAAGGGGTTAATGAGTTCCCAATCCAGTTAGTCTGGCCCTGCCTCTACCTCTGGGACAGGTGTCTGAAATGAGGAGTGGGAGGGGAAGGCCGACTTGAGACTGAATAGTAGGATCTAGTGTACCTCAAAGATAGTTTCAGATCGAATTGAATCCTTGCAGACCCAGCTGGTGCAAGAGAATTGTGTATGGTGGACACACAGCTGGCTCCACAGTGTTGCATGATGTGTTGACAAATGTATTTTCTCAGAGATTTGAACCTAAATCTGTTTGACTTCAGCACCTGTGATTTCCTGTTTGTAGTGACTTCGTGTTTATTCATCATGGTTCGATGCGCACATAGCGTAAAAAATTGTTCTTGCCACGCTTGTGAAAAAAGCACCTGTCCTTTCTCCCCCTATCTCTTCCAGGACCCCAAAGGCAAATGCTTTTGAGCAGAAACTTGAAATTTACCTCCGCATCACTAAATAACACATTGCATTGGTACTTGAGTTGTTTTAGACACCAACCCTACTTTACCTATAGCCTCTTAGACGCCCCAGTCCTTTCAGAAAGGTAATTTCAATTAAATCAATACTCATTCATGTGTTCACAATATGTTCATTATAAATAGCATATATGGACAACTTTTTTCTGAAGCCAGTAAGTTTCTTGTTTTCTATTTGGGTTCAATTCTACGTCATTATTCAATTAACCTCATACTTTCTGTCACTTGTCTTCTTCCCCTCTCAGTACTGAGGTCCTCAGCCCAGTATTGTCAATCAAAAATAACAGATTCTCCAACAATAATGAGCTTTTTTTGGGAGAGAGTGACAGATGACTGTAGCCTGGATTAGGTAGTGCCTTTCAAACCATGGTGGACTGTAGGTACGCCCTGGGAGGTAAAGAAGAGCAAGGGTTTAAAAGACAAAATGAGGAGGCTTACATAGATTCTTTCAAACAAAGAGAACCTTGGTTATGGGGGAGCTGCAGAGACTATGTCTGGCTAGTGCTCTTTCTCACACATCAAACCCTCTTGATATTCAGTTATCAAGATGCTATTAATTTTAGTTTACTCAACACTGC